AACGTTCTGCAATGAGGAAAATGTTTTATTTCTGTGCTCTCCCATACAGCCACGTATTTGAGTGCTTGAAAGGTGGCTAGTGTAACTGAGGAACCAAATTTTTGGTTGTATTTAATTTAAAGTAATTTAAATTTGGGTTTAAATGGCCACATATAGTTTTGTGGCTGCCATGTTGGATAACATAATATTATACAGATTGTGGCATCCCATGGCTGCCGCCTCCAGACAGGCGGGTTTCACATGGGGATAATTTCCAGGGCAGCTTGGTATGACCACAGAGACACTACTCCCCACTACCAAGTGAAACCAGGTTGAGCAGATTAGGACTTTGCTCGCTGGAAGGACTGAAGCAGAACTAGGGAGGATTGGGGGTGGGGGGATAGACCGAGACGGGGAGGTGGAGGGTGTGGTGTGGGCCACAGCTCAGCACTGGTGCCTCTGTCAGGGACTGTGTGCTCTGGTTCCCGACCAGCTTCAGGCAGTCCTGCCTTGGAGCCTCCGCATCACTGGCTTGGTAGGTACCATCCTCATTGGATGTCCCTGGAGCAAGATAAGCAGGTGGTAATAAAGAGACATAAATGTTGTCTCCAGGGGACTCATGGCCTGTTGGTCTCCACCAAGCCCCCTGAGGGTGACTCTGTCAAAGAATAAATGAATGAATGAGCACATAGATTTTGATAGCTGGTGGGTGAGATAATGCTGCCCTAATGCTATTCTTTGGTCCTCCTTAATATGAAAGGGGTCCTTGTGAGCTCACATCAGTGGCACATGGTGGTCAGTGGTGGCGGGCACTTGGGCTGTTGACAAATGGAAGGAACTCAGTCTGGCTCTCACTCTGGAGAGCCTCTTCCTTCTCTCCATACTTGCCTCCCTCCCCCAGCTCCAAGGCCCCAATAGATGTCCTTGGGCTGGATCAAGCCCCTTACCTCAGATGGAGTTCCCAGTTGAGCCATGGAAGGTGAAAAATGACCTCATTTCTTCCCAGCTGACCTCAAGGAGAATGCAATCCCTTCCCTTCCCCTCCAGTCTCCCCACCCACACCTCCACAAACAGACCAGAGGCAGCTTACTGAGGTACACATCACTCAGCTCATTGTTTGGAGGCCCTAATCTAAAGCTAGAATTCATTCTGCTCTGTAGGCAAATAATTTTTCCTGTTTGGGCCTCAGTTTCCCCATTTGTAAAAGTGCAAGGTTGAACAGTCCCTTGTAATGCTAACATTCCACTATTAAAATAGATCCAGTGAAGTGTGATTATCTGAGAGGCTTAATCACTCTGGATGGCTTTTCCATTTAAAAGAGGCGCTGGTTAGCTCAGATGAGGCTCTAATTGGCAGCCTGTAGCACTGGAGCTCCCGGAAGCAGGAGGCCTTCCAAATCCCTCTGCCCCCTGCTCCCAGATACTAATATCTCCTAGGGTATGCCCTAGGGTACACACAGAGGAGAGGACCCTCCAGCCCCTCATGGGGGAAAGATCCCACCCTCATGCCACCTGCTCCCTAGACACTATCTGCCACCCACAAGGGATTTCTATCATTCCTGCACCTGCTTGGCTTATGGAAAGGAAATCTGGCTGGAGAACAAAAGTTCAAATAAATGGATGAATCCTGCGCCTAAAAAATAAGTCAAGGAGCCCTGGGCTGGGAGTCAGATGGCCCTGTTCTAGGCCTGCTCACAGGCTGTGTGCCAGTGGCACTTTCTCCCTCTTTAAAATAGGGGAATAACCAGCCCTGCCGGTGTCGCTTGGCTGTTGTGAGAACACAAGCAGTCGGTGGCTGCATCTAATGTTTTGTATAAAATGCTGTACAAATGCAAAGTGGTGGTGTTCTCCAGATACACATATCTGTGTGGTAATAATCAAACAGCACAACACCAGATTCCTTCTCCCTGCGCTGGAGAGGGTGTGCTGTGAAAATGTAAGATGCTAAATCACTCCCGAGCTGTTTTAAGGATTAGGCAGAAATGTTAATGGCAACAGATGTTGGCTTGTTCCCTTCAGGCAGATTTAGGCTTCAGTGGAGTATTTCTCTGCTGGCTTCAGCCCAAGACATGACCAACGCCCTTTCTCCGACCTCCCCTTCAACCCAGAGAGTGGCAGGGGCTCACTTTCTGCCTTGAGGTTAAGGATCTGGCTGGGAAACATTGGAATCTTGTCTTAGGAGGGCTTCAGTAGGACAATAATGTTCTGTAAGATCAGCTGAATCAAACATTAGGGAAAATGAGGAGCCACGGACTCAGCCTGGAACCCATTGTTTTCATGGGGGCGGTGATGGAGATGAAAGAACTGGGTGCTAGTTGGGTTTGGGGACCGTTCCATGTCCCTGTACAATGAGATCTGCGTGGTCCAGGTGACCACTAGGGGCTTTCTGGATCTAACATTCTCGAGGACCATGAAAATAGATGAGGAGAGGCCAACCCAAGGATTGTTCCAGAAATTATCAAGATTTCTCCTTCTAGCCCTGGACAGCAAGGTGGCTACATTCTTGGGAAAGGGGAAGGGTTGTGTCTGGAGTTTGTGCAGTTCCAGAAACACTGTATCAGTAGAGCTGAAGTGCCTCCAGGGCCACCTCCTGTCCTTCTGAAGGCTCCAGGCCACTCAGCACTCACCTTTGAAGGGGGACTGGGCTCGCGTCACGAGGAAGAGCCTCTTGCTCTTGCTGTGCCGCTCCTGGCGGATGTGGTAGCCCAGCGTGTTGCAGCGGCCCTTCCTGCAGCTCAGACACAGCCCCTGGCTGAATCTGTCCATGTTGTCGCACAGGTAGGCCGTGCTCTGCATGCTGTCGTGCAGCAGGGAGTCGATGAAGAGGTGCACCGATCGCTCGTGGGCACACTTTATGGTCTGGAAGATGGCTGGAATGCAGGGCAAGAAGGACGTTATCACCCCTTAACCCAAGGTAGCCTCAACTCAAAGAATCATCCTGTTTCTTAGATTAGCAGCGGCACGTCGGGAGGCAGGGCTGGGATTGCTGAGGTTGACCCACTGACAACAGCAGGATGAACAAATGACTGAAAACTAAGGAAAGCAGACGCCTCTTGATTATTTACCATTGGGGCAAAATCCCAGGCAGGGTAGGGCGCCTGAGGACACCACTCTATTACATTTTGTTACAGTAGGTGTTTTAATAGGCATCCCAAGTCACTAAGAAAAGATTAAATTATTTAAGAAAGCAGGGTAGTGTCAGTCACTTAAGAAATATTTCTCAAATGGTTAAAAATGCCCAAGTGATGATGCCTGGAGGGTGAGCTGACTGGAACAGACTTGTATGGGATGCCTCTTTTCTTAGTAAAGCTGGGTAGACACTCAGCTGAGGCACTCGCGTGGCACACTAGTGGTCTGGTAAAAGCTGAGGCCTCTCCCACAATGCCCACCTTATGTCCCCAAACAGCCGTTGAATCCCTTAGGAACAGGCCTGTAACACCAGCATGGAGATTGGATTTATTATTATTATTATTTTTTACCTCTTTTATTTATTTATTTTATTTTATTTATTATTTTTTATTAATATTATTTTTTACATTCTAGGATGTTGTTGTGGAGCAGTTGTGAGGGAGGGGGAGAGAGGAAAGGGGAAGGAAATAGGATGGAAGAAGGAGGAAGGAGGAGGAGTGGGATTGAGGTCTGTGAGTCTCCAACATGGGAGACTGGGGGGCTTCCAGCAGTGGTTTGGTCATTGCTGGACTGGGTGCAGATGTCAGGGGTGTGTGGCAAAAGCCCTAGTCCCCCGCCATCCCAGCTTGGGAGAGCCCAGGGTGCTTCCTGTGGCGGTTCAGTGGTCATCGCTAGGGTGGTTGCACTGGTCACAGGGGTGTGGCCAAAGCCATCAGCCTCCACCCTTGGGACTGGTTGTGGGGTCAAGGAGTATGGCTGAGGCCCCCGGCACTCCCCACTTTCTGGTTTGGTAGCCCAGGGGACTTCCCAGTCCTTCTAGGTGTTATAGGTGTTCTTTGGTGAAATGAGACCTTTACTAGTTAATATCAAATTTATTCTCTGGTTGTGGGTATTTTGTTTTTTCTTCCAGTTCTGTGTTGTATTATTTGCTGTTCCCACCACTCAAACTCTGCACTGGAACTAATTTGTTGTCCTTTGCTTACTTCTAAAATGGGGGAACATCCTGTGAGGACCAGTGCTTGAGCCCTGTGGTTGAGCTAAATTGTTGCTTTGCTGCTGATTCCCTAGGGAAGGCTTTTTGTGCAGCTCAGGGTTTAATGGTTGACTTTATAGGTAACTGCAGTTCTAGTGAAATCTGGTGCACCTGGGTTGTGTAGACACTCTGGTCTGGACCTGAGTCTTTTCATCAAACTGTACCCCATGCAATTCTATATTCCTTATTAGTCTCCTCTGAGTGGTTCTACACTGACTGGGGTACAGATCAGCTGTCCTTGCTGTGCCCCAGTGTTCCCCTGGTGGCCCTGTCTCCCCCACCGCTCATGCTCCAAACACTTCCCATGGGATGGGCCATGCACCAATCCCTTGTGATGACTCACTGGCCTATGAGTGGCTCCTTTTTTTCAGTTTTTGTGGCCCCTCTCTCCTATGTGGGTCCACGGGAACCCTATTAGTTGTATTGCTGGCCTGGGGGCCACCAAGGCCCTTTTCTCCCCTGCCACCTCCAAGCAACTTCATCTGAAGGGCACAGCTGCAGCTTTTGCCAGCTCCTGCTCCATGGGCTCAGCAGCTCCAGCCTGGATGTGGCTGAGGATCTAACCAGTCAGAGCAGTTTTTACTTTCTCTCATCATGGCTTCTCCCACCTTCATGCACTCCGTAGGTCTCTCCTCCTCTTCCCCTGAGCTCTAGGGGCCCCAGCTTGGCTGCTGTTGCCTTTTTATAGTTGTAAATTGGTTGATTTGTGGGAGAGAGTGACACTGGGGACCGTCTATTCTGCCATCTAGACTGGAAGTTGAGATTGGATTTAGAACATGCCCCAGTGATTACATCTGAATGGGCCTAACTGCCCCCTAAAAATGTGAGGTTTTTCTACCATGGATTTTGACTTTTTTTTTTGGCAGCTGGCCAGTACAGGAATCAAACCCTGGACCTTGGTGTTATCCATGCTACACTTGAACTGGCAAGTCCACCACTCCTCCCCTTCTAATCTTTAGTAAGGAATTATTTTCAAGGAATGTTGAGGAACCACCACAAGGCTTGTAAAGTACCAAAGGCAGAGCACAGGAAACTTTGCCAAAAGCTATTTCTTTAAGGGTCTGAAGGCTAAACACCAAGATCAGTCAGCTCAGTTCTCGGTCACTAGTGGCTGCGTTTGTTGAGCGCCTGCTGGGAAGCAGGTATGTGCTGAGTGCCTCCCACCCATCCACTCCCTGAGTCTTCTCTGCAGCTCCGTGAGGCAGCTGCTGTAAATGAGAGAGCCAGGCTTCAAAGACATTCACTGACTCATTCAAGCTCACCCAGCCGGGGGAAGGTGAGGACGGAGAGCAGTTGTCAAGTTCCCTTTTATTTGGGTGTGGTTGGGAGAATTACCCTGGAATGGGGACACTTTCAAACACAGGGGTGAAGAACACTGAGAAACACCATCCTGAGCTGAGGTGGGCAAGCTGAATACACACGCAGCTGGCCCCTGACTGTCTGGTGCAATACTCATTCAGTAGAAACCATACTTTGAGTACCCAGATAACCACTCTGTTTTTCACTTTCAGTACAGTGTTCAATAAATTACATGAGATATTCAATGCTTTACTATAATATAGGCTTTCTTTTAAATGACTTTGCCCAACTGTACGCTAATGTGAGTGTTCTGAGCATGTTTAAGTTGGGCTAGGCTAAGCAATGAAGTTCGGTAGGTCAGGTGTATTAAGAGCACTTTTGATGTATGATATTTTCATCTTATGATGGGAGGTAGCCCTGTTGCAAGTCGAGGAGTTTCTGCACTTGGTTCTGTCACTCTGAAGTTTAGCACAAAGAGCAAATTGCAGCGATTGGTCAGAGATGCGTTCACCAGGCAAGTAGTTTCTAAACACCATCCTGGTGGCCTGTGTTGAAGTTCGTGGGTGTATAGATCTGGGGGGAGGGCTGGACGATCAGCTGAGAACTGCTAGTGACCTGTAAGGCGAAGTTCCCAGAAGGCTCCCTCAGGCGTGGGTGGGTGGAGGGCTGGGAGTCCAGCCAAAATGAGATGATGTGGACTGTGAAGGTCATTCTGATATAGGAGAGGTGCGGGGGGTGATGTAACACAAGAGAATGTGTTCTCAGCTCAGTTTTGGATGATTGGGGTGAGAAGGTGGTGTGTGGGGGTGGGGGTCTCCAGTTGGCTTAGACTGATTGGCATGTTTTAATCAAGATGATATTTTATAATGAGAAATTTGGAATGCCTGTGGAATGTGCGGTTTCTGCTGACATTTTTGCTCTTTAATCCTGTGCATGTTAATGTTTTGGTCTCAGGATTTGAGAGAAAAGTGGGATCATGGCCCAGATAATGCCAATTCAGTTTCTGCCCCGAGGTAAAGGATGTAACAAGCACATATTTGAAGCTGAACTTCACATTGGAAAATCCTCAGTAATGTCCTGTAGGATCAGCTGATTAACTCTTATGGGGTGGGGTGAAGAGTTATTCCCACTCTTGTGAGACCAAAGATCTAGAAGCCATGACCTATTAGGTGGATCTTCATGTGACTCAGAAGAGAGGAAGAATCTTCAGAAGAATGAGGAGACTTCTGGAGAAGGAGGAATAACCTCAGGCATCAGGACTCAACTTTCAGAAGGGCTAGTTATCCTCAGAGAGGCTTTGCTTGGGCACGCCATGGGGAGGGAGGGAGGGAGTTGGGATTTCTGCCCCTCCATCCATCCTCAGGGCTTGGCTTCCAGGAACCTCTACCTGTTACGAGGGGCACCTGCTGGGGACATCAGCTCTTACCCACTCCTACAAGCCCTCTCTGAGTGGGCCCCTCCGCTTGCTGAACTCTTCTCCAAGTCCCACAGCATTGGTGGGTTCCACTGGATTCCAGAAGCCTCATGGATGTCCAGGCTAGTGCTCTGGGCCCATGACCTCTTTCTCACCATTTAAGCCGTGCTTGGCCATGTGTTTGTAGAGCTCTAGGAAGTGGCAGCCAGGCTGGAAGGAGCCCCCATTGGGGTAGAAGTCATAGTGCGCTATGGGCTGTCTGATGCCCACACTCAAGCCCATGTGATCCCGGGTAAAGGTGTGAATGGCATCCACAAAATTGGCATCATCTGGAGAAAGCCGGTTGCTGGGGGAAGTTCCCTCAAACGAAGGGCCTGCAGCATCCAACCCTAATTGGAAAGCAAGGGTAAGACTTAGTTGAGAGCAAGGGGAGGGGAGTAGAAATGCGCTTTTTAGCTTCTTGATATTAACACATTAATGAGCTAGCAGGAAGAAGGGAAACCTAGGGCATAAACTTTCTCTAGACAACCTTGCCGCAAATTTTTCTTGATAAAACTGCAGTGATTCATGGTCCTGAAAATTAGACACAGACTTGGCATCATCTAAGGGGAAAAGAGGTTTGCAGAAATTATCCAGTGGTACAAATAAGATTATGAGGGAATGCTTGATTTATTTAAGCTAGTCGATTTTAAGTACCTCTCCAGCTACTTTCAAGAGCCTCTGTTTGCATACCCAAACCAAAAAGCTGGTGCGCTCATCATAAGTAGTTCTAACCTACCCATCAGAGAAAGAGTTTATCTGCCTGCATGTTGTTAATTCATTCCCTAAACAAGCTGGCTTTTCTCCTGCACTAATGGCATTTTCATTGGAATGACCAGAACAGCCTTGGGACGTCACTGTTCCAGGGTGAAAACGTGGGCAAATGGTGCTGCTCTGGTCCTCAAGGGCACATGGATTTGCAAGAGACAAGTGGCAGCTCCTGGCTGACTAGTGGGTGAGTATTTATACACTCAAGGTTGTTTCCCTGTCTTTCTTCCTTGGCCTTCTCTGGAGGACTCTTTGTGTCCCCCAGCCCAGGCTTCCATCCCTACTAGGGTGAAGGACCTGAGAATGAGCTTTTTTTTTTTTTTTACCTTTTTGTCTTTTTTCATGACCGGCAACGGATCACAACCCTCAGTGTCGCGCCCGTACCG